ACTTCCATGGTCCTCGGAACAGGCCACCACCGGGATCCTCAGTGATGGTAGGAGGGGTATCCATCGGCGTCGAGTCGACGCTGAAGTACCTAGGACTCGTCCTCGATGGCCGATGGAACTTCGTTGAGCACTTCCGACGTTTGGCTCCCAAACTGGAACGGACCGGGGCTGCCTTCAGGCGGCTCCTGCCGAACCTTGGGGGGGCCAAACGCCTCCTGCCGGAGGCTCTACGCGGGGATCGTGCGATCCATGGCCCTTTACGGGGCCCCGGTGTGGGCGCGTGGTTTGGCGGGGCTTGCCGTCCACCACCTGAACGCGCCCCAAAGGGTGGTTGCCGTGAAAATGGTTTGCGGCTACCGCACGATATCCCGCGAGGCGGCGAGCCTCCTTGCCGGATTGCCGCCATGGGATCTGGAGGCGATAGTCCTCGCACGCCTGCACGAATGGCGCGCGGAGGCACTATGCCGGGGGGAAACCCAGCTGCCGCGGCAAGTTGTCGCGCAGCGGACAGACTTCCGGCACGATCTCATGGCGACATGGAGAGAGCGATTGTCGCAACCCCGTGCTGGGCACGCCACTATAGCGGCGATAAGACCCCTCTTTGAGGAGTGGCTTGAGAGACGCCACGGCATCCTCACCTTCCGCCTGACGCAGGTCCTCACCGGACACGGTGTGTTCGGGAGGTTCCTGCACCGAATCGGGCGGGAGGAAACGCCCGGGTGCTCCCACTGCGAGGATGAACCGGAGGACACGGTGGAACACACCGTGGAGGTGTGCCCTGCTTGGGCGGAGCACCGCCGTGTCCTCGTAGCGGCGATAGGCGGCGGCAACCTCTCGCGTCCGGCCCTGGTCGAAGCCATGGTCCGGAGCGAGACGGAATGGGATGCCGTCACCACCTTCTGCGAAGCAGTGATGCTAGCGAAGGAGGTGGCGGAGCGGGAGAAAGAGAGAGCAGCAGCTTTCCTCTCCGGCCGCCGCGGGAGACGCCCCGTTCGTCGGGGGCTACGTCGTGGCCCCCGGCCACCGTAGGCGCGGGCCTGTGGACGGTGAGCAATGGGTAGCTCGCCGTCCGTCCGTCTAACGACGACAGGCCGTGTCGACGGCGCGTTTTGTTCCACGCGCGCCTCAAAGAGCTGTCAGCAGCGTGAAGGGGCCCGCAAAGGCCGACGCCTGCCGGGGCTGCGGGCTGTTCGAAAGAGATACCGCGGCTCCGGAACGTAAGGGCACTGAAGAAACACGGATGGTTTTTAGTCAGTAAAAGTCTGACACTCCCTTACGCTCCACCCAGAGCGAAAGGCGTCATTAGATGATTTTCCATCCGCAAAAAAAAAGGTATCTACAAATAGGTACAGTACAACAACAAGGTAAGATACGTAGTTTTAGACATAACCAGTTAACAAACAACAAACAACCACCTACCTAAGTACCTACGTAAAGGTATTAAGTGAATAAAACTATTTCGAAACTATTAAATTAACCTCACTTTTTACTCACTTGCTTTCTTTCCTTCTCCGCCTCTTGAGATCTTGATGCTACATAACAAACACTGGGCCAGTTTATTATTTTCACTACAAATCTCATAATATTCCCCTATGGGCGATTTTTTATTAACCGGTGTCATTTTATAAGCCTTTTGACGAAAAATAATTGAAAATGAACTAAGGAACAAACTTCTTAGCAAAATAGTAATTAACTTTCACTTTACGTATTATTTATATACTAACAAAGCGCTCCGTGACGCGATTTACTCGCAATTGAAACAAATACAAACAATGTTTGCTTGCATCCCGCCCCGCGCGCGCGCCGTCGTCGCCTGCCACGCGAACGCAATGAGAAAAACAGGTTGTGACTTGTCTTTGTGTTATTCCAGCTAACGCGCCCCCACCAAGCATATACTTCGCGCCGAATATTCGGCGCTTCGGCCGAATATTCGGTATTCGGCCAATTCACTATTCGTGGCATCTCTAATTAAGGGGATAGAGTAAGTCAGCTCAAATTCTAATTTCGTCCCCACTTGCCCGCGCGTCGTATGCTATGTACCGATATGTTTGTAATCACTAATACTGTAAGTAGAAAGGTCGTTAGACACTTATTTCATTAGGTTTATCATATTTATGCCTGTTTCTTAACGCCAAGCCAGTCGCTTCTTATTTTTATTACGGTTATTTCCCATTTTAATTTTACGTCGTCCTGTTGCGTAATGTATATTCTGATCGTAAGCGAAACAACCTTCGCCTTCAAAGGCCGAAGTCTCTAGTATATACACAGTAATCTATGGGCCGAAGCGAAGTGACCGTGCGGCAGGAATCACGCTTCAAAGGCCGATAGTTTAGGTAATTTCTTTTTACACTGAAAACAATGGTATTTTAAAAAAAGTAAATAACATAAGCATTGGTTTATAGTTAGTTCAGTTAGTATGCAAAGTTTCATGAGCTTATTTAAAGTATTTTATGAACAACAGCGGTTTATTGTTTATTTTGGAGGTAACTTACGATTTTTTTTCTATCGAGAAAATTTTACGAAAACGTGTTTTCGTCTAACATAATCCTTAACATTAATCCTCAACTTTACCATATGTTTCAAAATTAATGCTGCAATATTTTCGGCATAACGAAAGATCTTGCTAAGCCATTTGAGATTATACATCCCCTTAATAGCGCGCTCAAAAGATTAATAGCGCGCTAGAAATTTATAGTTTATAGTCTGTAGCGCGCTATGATTTATAGTCGTTTTGAACAACTTAACTTTTGTTTATTCATTATAAGTAATATTTAAAAAAAAAACACTTTTGAGTCAAATTTTGAATAGTTTTCAAGAGATACATATACGCCTACCGCATTACAGTACCTTTTTTATCAATTAGTGTTCTGTGTTTTTTATACGTCGATGGTTGCATCGATACTGGACGACTTTGGCGTGCTGCATATAGTATTTGCTTGGATAAAAATCCATGGTTTTTAGTTCAATGTTTCCCAGTACTTGTGGCGTCGACTATAGACGTCGTAAGTATAGACTTTGGCTTAACATTAACTCCAAGCAGATACTTCGTCTTAACGTCTGCAAGCTGTTTGTGGTCCCGCCTTAAGACACCTCGGCTTTAATTCACTGTATTTATATATCTAGGCCATCTGATTAGGATATTTTCAATGACAGTTTAAATAATTTCAGAAGAAAAATTTTACCTATTTAGATGACAAATGTAAACCTTTTTAACTTCTCATGAATAATTAATTTTGTTACTGTATATTAAATTTTACGTTATTTGACTTTTCGCAACATTACTCTGTGTTAGCTGTGATTGCCTATAACCTATAATTGGGTAACACATTGCATGTTTTTTACAATGCTTGTATCTTCTTTTAATTTTTGTGTGTCATCCGTTGGTAACTCTATAAATAAATTTAAAAAATATGTAATTAGGTGACTAGCTTCGCGAATTTAAAGCCTGTGTAATGGGCATTGCATTTTTGAGGTGGATGTTTATGTTCCGAAGCTTTGTTATCCACCTATAAAGCTTACGGTTTACTTATGGTTTTATGGACCAGTGAGCTTAAGTGGCAATAGGCCGGCCATATACAATATGTAACGTAATTAACGCACACCCTCAGACACCCCAACTAGTATGTTATAATCATAATACATAGACTGAATTTTTAGTTAAACATTTTTATGCACTGATTATTTATCAAATTAGTTATACTAATTCCGGAAGAATGTTGTGGTCACAGTACAAAACCACGAACGCAGACTTTAATGTGCTTGAAATAAAGTTCATTTTTCTTTATTTTTATTGAATGACAGAATTAGTAATAATACAAATTAAACTGCACTCTTAAGTCTTATTGCCTTAATCCATTTCAGTTTGTTTTGACTGTACAGATTTAGTGCGACTGTAATTTACGTAGTTTTATTAATTTGGGATAAAAAAATTACCTATATTAAAAATGATAGGAATCGATTCAGTAAACTATTCTGAACAAACTACTTTCTCAAAGTGCGTTAATTATGTTACGTGTTGTATATGTTTTTATAGGATAAGGGTGACAAACGAGCATACAGTCCACCTGATGGTAAGCGGGTGCTGCGGCCCGTAGACACATTTAACCTCGATCAGGAATCAAAATGTAGATGCGTTGTCACCATGAGGGCTAAAATAGAATGCCTCGATTCCAGTAAAACTGCGGATCCGCACCTGGATGGTTAATCCATCCAAGGGCGGATCCGCCGTTTTACCGACCTGGCTAGAGATTCAGGAAGTCAGTAATGAACTTATGAAAAGCTGAAACGATTTACCGATAGTAATTAAGAGTACAATAAATGAAACACACAACACCAATAAATATAACTTTATTCAGAAATTTACTCCACAATTTCATAAAAAATAATTCCATAATGTTGTAACATGTGAGTCTTTCAATTTTTATTTTATACAAATGGACATTTTGGAAATTAAGATCCGGTCAATACTGAGTAATTTTTCCACTTTAAGGGCGACTTTAAATCTGTTAGTTTTAGCCGCGAAGAATCGTACCTTACGATACAATTGATAACGATACGTAAGATAAATATGTAAATGTAGAACACTCTTTACGTTTCCAATTTTATCGTAAGATCCTTTCCATTCAACTTAGAAGTCTTAGAACCGAAGGAATTTAAAACATTAAACTTGATCTTATCTTAAACGGAATTAATTCAACAAAGAACTTTATTTGAAAAAAAAGGGCTTAACGAAAATTTGGGACTGACCTTATGTCTCTCAGCTGGTGGTTCTTGGTTCTATTTAATAATTGGTGCTACTTGTTTTAGAAAAAAATTAACGAAATAACTTACAAGTGTAAAGGCGGCCTACGTCAATACAATGTACAATTTATTTACATTAAAATTATCACAAAATACGCAGATTAGTATGTAGAGAAAGCTTAGAATCCCGATGTTAATGAAAATACATTTAATATATTTTTGCGATGGGATGTGATGCCAGCTGTCAGCTCAGATAGCTTTCATTCAGTCTGTAAGAGAAAAAGTTATTAAAAATTGCATACAGAATTGCTTATTCAAAGTCATAGCATTCATAAATATTATATTCAGTTTTGGTTTATTTAAAGCTTTTAGGTACGACAAACTCTACCGTGTGTTCGAAAAGTAAAACCTCTATCATAAGCCTAAGAAAAAGGTATGAAGTTTTGCATTATAATAATTGTTTTCAATTATATTGTATTATGTTGGCATTATTAAATAATTTAATTGTGCCAGCCATTCATTAAAAATATTTTTTAAAGAAAGAAAGAATTTTATCTCCATCGGTCGTACCTTCCACGTAGTCGATCAATTTTGTACTAGCTGTTCCCCGCGACTTCGTCCGCGTGGAATTTATTACAATTATTTCATGGGATTTAATTTTTATGTATGGAACCCTTATTCTTTTTCTAAAATAAAAGTAGCTTAAAGTCACTCCTTATAACATCAACTATCTACCAGTTAAAGTTCTGTCAAAATTGGTCCAACATTTCGCAGATGCCGAAACAAACAGAGGCAAAATTTTTTTTATAAGTACCGTATACACATTATATGAAAAAAATTTACGGGTTACCGCACATATTTTATGTAATTTTAATTCAATGACTCGTTTATTTAGGTCACGCAGAAACAACGCATTTGTCACTTGCGAAATCATGTAACTTCCGTACTTTTGTACATCAGTTTATAATTCTTTAAAATAAATTCAGTGTTAGATCGACTTTCATTGGGTTTGTTTCGTACACTAACTTTCCCTTGCATCCGATCTGCACTCATTCATCTTATACACTGTAAACACCTTACAGTGTTTTTGGTCCTTCGAAAAGACAAGATCACATCTGTGGATTTCCATCGACATTTGGAAAATACAGGTACAGTGGTTCCTACGCTTACGTCACTTTATTTTCTTTGTGGATTTTTTGCGACTGCGAATCGGTTGACTGGCTTCCCAGAAGCGAGTCCCACCAGTTCAATTGAGAAGGCGCAAAAAAGGTCGTACTAGGTTCGCGAAGATATAGAGTGGCCTGGACCGCTGGACAAACATCTGCTACAGCTGCTATCAAAGTGGACAGTTGTCGTCGACATTCGATACAGTGAACAGTGCTAAGACTCAGTGAGCAGTGAACTTGGAGGGTACCTTTTTTCGTCCTCGGAGTGTCACACAGTGAACAAGCATAATGGAGAGTCTACTTCAGCGCCAACAGGAGATTGTTAAAGCGATCAAGAAGATAGAAAGAAACTTCAGCAAGGATTCCGCAACACGCCAGACTCGTAAGTACTTGAACGAGCGACTCGATGCCCTTGATAAACTGTGGGCCGATTTCCAAGTAAACAACCATAAGTTATCCGACTATGAGAATGACGCTGATCCTTACTTTACGGAAAATCAGTACCAACAAGCAAGAACGTACTTTGATACTGTGCGCATCAAGATATCGACCTGCCGCCCTGCACGTGAACCTGTTTCTCCGGCATCAGAAGTGCTGCCTAAGATCGTAGCGACACCGGAGCCGACTCCATCTACGGCTCCACCTAAACTACAGCCGAGAGTCACTCTGCCATCGACGTCAAATGCAACAACGGTCTCGCCTACAGATCGTCGCCAGGCAGATGAATTGGTATCTCTGCAAAGAACCAACTTCAGAGCTTTCCATCGACAAGTGAATAGCTTGCGACTTGACGAGATACGCGACAAGTGCGAGCTGGGAGATGAATTGCGTAACATTCAGACGCGCTGGGCTGCAATCGACGCTTTGCATTTACAAATCGATCACATTCTCCAAGGTTCGGATACGCAGTATGACGATGAGTTTTATGCTTACGAAGACTCGTAAAAGAGCATCAAGAAGGCTTTGAATCTCAAGCTCGCGTCTACATTACATCTTCGGCAGTCGACATACCTACATTCACGGGCAAGTATACACAATGGCCTACATTCTATGATCTCTACGTAGAAAGCATCCATAACAATAACTTGCTCACGAAAACTCAGAGGATGCAGCACCTGAAAGGTAAACTACGAGGAGATGCTGAGCGACTTATTCAGCATCTAAACATCTCGGCAGACAACTACAATACAGCGTGGGAATTGCTGACACACAGATATAACAACTCCCAGCTGTTATTTACAAAACAGATTGAGATTTTTCTCAATCAACCCGTCGCACACAAGCAATCAGCGTACGAGATCAGACGCCTCTACGACACGTCCATGGAATGTATCCACGCCATACAGAACCTCGGTATCGATACAAGTACCTGGGATCCGTTGCTAGTACACCTCATAGCGAAGAAGCTAGATGCTGAAACATACAGCGTATACAAAGAGGCACGAAAATCGCCGCGAGACATACCTTCGCTTTCTGAGCTAATGGACTTCCTAGAGAGCAAATTCGACGCCTTAGAGCCAATAGGTAAAAAGGAACGAGAGATCTCAACATCATCAAATAGATCTTATCCTCCGAAAATCATCAACAACAAACCATATAAGCCTCAGTTTCAACATGCTGGTGGTCATCGCTATGGAAAATTCCCGAACAGAGAATTTCAAGCTGTTGCGACATGCTCGTCAATTTGTCCGATTTGCAACAATAATCACTACCTATACAAATGCAGCAAATTCATCAAGTTTACACCGGACGAGCGGCTAATGGCCGTCAAGAAACACAATATTTGCCCCAATTGTCTGTACGCACACACCGATAACATATGCACGTCGACGAAAAGATGCAAAGTCTGTCAAAAGAGTCATAACACAATGCTACATGACGCATACACAAATATGAACCTTAATCAACAGACGGTAAACCGGGCGGCCGACGCGCCCGCCGGGTCGTTATCGCACGTGCCTACAGCTCCAGTTACGCAAAGACCTCAAGTTTCTGAAAACAAAACATACAACATTGCGTGAATCACGTTGCTACAGATGACGAAGAGATCCTGTTGACAACATTATCTGTCAGGGTCAAAGCTTCTGACGGGACTTACATCACTTTGAGATGTCTTTTAGACCAAGGCTCTCAGATTTCACTCATTTCTGAGAACGCCGCTCAGATACTGGGCTTGCCTCGACAACGGTACCACGCTTCTGTATCTGGCATTGGCAATGGATCAAAGTACGGCAAGGGAGTCGTCACGCTCGAATGTCAGTCTATCTACCAAGACTATGAGTTTACAACTCAAGCATTAGTCATCAATCACGTCATCAACAATCTGCCAAACATGTCGTTCAGTAAGGAGTCCTGGCCACACTTGCAGCACATACAGTTAGCTGATCCCGAGTACAACATCTCTAGGCCTATTGATCTGCTACTAGACGCAAGCATATACTCCGAGATCATCATGAACGGCCTGATCAAAGGTCCGAACATGGCTCCAATAGCTCAACAGACGAGATTGGGCTGAATTCTCTCGGGTAACGTGAAAACTATTCAATCATCGACATGTGATGACGTCACAACAGCTGACTCGCAAGCAAAACAACAACGATCAAGGCGCACGACGAGAAGGCCTGTCAGAACATTCTTTACGATGGTGGTGATGCTGTTCCTATGTCTGTTCACCCCTAGCCAGTGTTCAAAAAACATATCAGCATTGGATAACAACCAAAACATATATTTTGACAAAATGTATGACATAAATCTTATACGAGATGAATGGAAATTATTTGTGTACTATAATATGAGTACATACTGGTCAGCATTAAGTCACGTGAAAAGTTACGTCGGTCACTTGGAAGAGTACCTACACGGCATTACGCTTCCAGTACAATACAAGAGTATCATATATCAGCTGCAACATGAACTATCCGAAATTCAACATTACAATAAGATACTCAAGAACGGTGTTCACAGAAGACAAAAAAGAGGACTGATCAATGGTGTGGGATATGTGGCCCATTCCTTATTCGGTGTCCTGGACGAGCGTTTCGCGAAGAAATATGAAAGGGACATAGAAAAAATTTCTATGAACGAAAATCACCTACAACTTCTGCTTCGAAACCAAACAAGTGTCATAGAAGCACAGTACAAATTGATGAAGATAAGTGGTGACCTGAGCAACTCTTATCTGATTATCGAAATTAAGATTCCTCTGGTCAACAAGGAAACCTTTGAGCTGGATAAGGCTATAAGTCTTCCGCAGCAGGACTACATTGTGGAATTTATAACACCCTATATCGCATTCAATCTGCAAAAAGACCTGCTCCTCACGCTATCAGAATCCGACATTCAAAACTGTGTCCATACACAGACAAACAGATTGTTACGCTCTATAGATAAACCGATTTATGAGTTACAAATAAAACAAGCAATTTGTAACTTGAGCATACACGATAAAATAATGTGTCATACAAAGGAGGCGCCGTGTCGCGAGAGATGGATTAAGTTACAATGCGATAACAGGTGGCTATTCTCTTGCTGTGGGAAATGCGCAGTGCGCATATTTTGCATTGACACTGGAATGATAATGAAGTCACTGACCGGGAATGGCTTACTACAAATCGGTCAAGCTTGTACCATCAAGAGTGACATCTTTTCTATTTTTGGTCACAACAACTACTTGAGCCAAGTTCAAGTTCAAGAGGACATACCGATCCCATCAGACACTTCCATATTGAATTCCATCCTAAATACTACTTCAGGCTTCGAGCAATTTACATCCGAAGACCATGGAGACGAGTGGAGTCGCATGAAGGCTCAGATTACAAACCTCAAAGAACAAGAAAGCGCACCACTCAGCGTACATGACATACATCAATATTCAGTTATGCACACAATACTGGTATCGATCATACTAGCGGCATCCATTTACATCATTATACGATGTCGCAGAACCAAGAGAGCACTGAACATGACGGCAAACACTCCCGTAATCTCCATTCCTATGGCGGCAAGCACGAGCGGAGACCAGGAATCTGCGCCAAGGACGAGACCGCGATCCGTGCGATTGGACATTCCATCACAAGTGTAGTGCAGTGATAAAATATTTAAGGAATTCGTTATATTATTTTTGTTTATATTATTTTACGATATTATTTTTTGTACTTTGAATTGTTATCATATTATTATTATTTTTTTTTACATTCTTAGTACCTTTGTGTTTATAGTTTTCCCTCTTTTGGGCCGGCAGAATGTACGGGTTACCGCACATATTTTATGTAATTTTAATTCAATGACTCGTTTATTTAGGTCACACAGAAACAACGCATTTGTCACTTGCGAAATCATGTAACTTCCGTACTTTTGCCTATACATCAGTTTATAATTCTTTAAAATAAATTCAGTGTTAGATCGACTTTCATTGGGTTTGTTTCGTACACTAACTTTCCCTTGCATCCCATCTGCACTCATTCATCTTATATACTGTATACACCTTACATTGATATTACAAACAAACACTTCAATTTTATATTTGAACTTTTTACATATTTTATCAACTTCCTTCGGTAATAAAGAAGTTTTATTAATATTTATAAATTTGCTTAAAAAAGAATTTTTAGTCGTAACTAATCTGCAGCCTTCTTTTTAAAACGTGGCTGCAGACCTGCAGGCGTCCATGGACTACAGTCCACTTTTTACCATCAAATGGACTGCAAGTTTTTTCCGTCACTTCCGTAATACATTTTAAAATATATATGAATTCGGTATTCTTAAATAAATATCGAATATAAATATCACGATTAAAAACATTCACGATAAATATCGATACATTTATGAGCAAATATCGATATTTCGATATATCAATATTTTTTACCCAAGCCTACTACGTATCTCTGACACAGTATTATATCTTTCTTTTTAAATAAATAATAAAATAGCTTAAGACAATTTTTTATGTTCACGTTGAACGTAATTAGTTTATTAATTTATTTCAATAATATTGTAAATCTCTCCTCACCTTATTATTTATCTGATCCTGAGGGAAAAAATAACTTTTCTTCTTCTTAACATAGGTAGCATCAAGGTGATTTCTGAAACGACGAAATAAAAACATAAAATATTAAAGAATCTTACTTTTTACTATTAAAATAAAAGATTACGTAATATTAATAAAATAATTATGTATTAAAAAATAACTATAGCTCCGACCAGAAAAATAAAAACCCCTGTCACGTTGCACATATATAACAAAATAACTTGCTATCCGTTAGTCCCGATATCACCCCTGCAAAGTCAGGGCGGATAGCTAGTCTCGTATAAAATTATGGCCGTGGAAGGAAAGGGGGAGATTTCCCGTCGGGTAAGAAGAGGCTGCAAGGAAGCTAGGAGAGTCCTTGCAAAGGTGCGGCGATATTTCACGCCGGGAGCCGGGACAGATGCTTACTTTATATAAAGTCCAAGTCCGGTCGTGCATGGAGTATTGCTGTCATATATGGACTGGTGCTGCAAAATGCCACCTAGCGGCATTGGACTCAATGGAAAGGCATGCAAAGAGGCTTATTGGTGACCCGAATTTGGTTATTGGTGGTGGTTGGTGCTTACCAGCCTCGAACACCGGCGTGAAGTAGTCAGCCTTTCGGTCTTCTACGGGATGCATTCCGGAGAGTGAGCGCAAGAATTGCATAATTTAATTCCTCCCTCTTCCTTCTACCATCGGACAACCAGACGTTCGGTTAGTCTCCACCCTTTCGTTGTTGACTTACCACGCATTTGAACCAAACGGTTTGCTACGTCGTTCATCATGCATACATAAAAGGAGTGGAATAAGTTACCAGCATCTGTCTTTCCATCCGATTACAATGTGGGTGTCTTCAAGGCAAGAGTGAACAGGTTTTTGTTAAGTCAGTGCGCTTTACCATCTGAAGCTACATCATCACTTACCATCAAATGGGATTGTAGCTAAGTGCTGGCTCAGAAAAGTAAAAAAAATAGGTGTTCTGCCCTGGGGGCGGCCAACAACGCTCTGTTTGATAGTTCGGAGCTATTCTATATATACTGTTTTTGATTCGGAACTTCGATAGCGCGAATTAGGCTTCGATTTGTGGCGCGACGACAGCGCCGCCACAAAATCAGTAGCTGTCCGCTAAAAGTCGAAAACGGCTCGAACCTGGCACCACCAAGGCACTGTAGGTGCTGCTTAAATTACGACTGAATTGGAAGCCTTCTCATAGTTAAGTTCAGAGCAATGATTGGAATAAAACCCGACGAGACGAGAGTAGTACTCGCAGAAGAACAAGAGCAATTGACATAACATAGAGGATCAGTAAACTTAGCTTAGGTGATTGCCATTTAGCTCGTAAAACTAACTACCGCTGGGAAAAAAAGTTCAACTGGCAGATGTTTGGGCATCCTCCACCCACTAAAACTAAATGGAGCGACGACCCGTAAAACACGCAGATAGTTGTAGGTAGACCATAATTTGTGTCAATCTATAGGGGAAGAGAGCTCTATGTTTTCATTTCATTGAACTTGTGATTTGCTGTAACTTAAACTGTTAACTTTCGATGTGTTCTGATCTGCAATCATCTCATTGCGGGATTTCCATTTTTCTGGTCAAGCTATAAATATTATTAAGTACATTTGTTGAAATCTACTGATAAATTAAATGTGAAGAAACAACCAATAAGGAAAAGTAATATACATACATTGCTTATAAAGAATCTAAACTACAACTGAACTCTATGACATACTAATTTTTTTCGAGTTATACGTCGGTCCGTGCATTGCATAAAGGTCTTTATAGAGCAGTAGATTTAGTAAAGTTGTAACATACAATCTTAAATATTGCATAGATAACCGTTTAAGATATAAAAATATACTTGCTGATATTAACTCATTGTCGCCATTTGTTTTTTTTTTATAATAATTTTGATTTTATGATTTCGGACCAATATTAAGGTAGTAAATAGTAAGAAATTAAGGTTGTTTTAACCAGAGAAAACACACTGTGGAACACGCACTCAAGAGTTATTTCTTTATTCTCATACACTACCATAGTTCCGCAGAGCAGATTACGATTTACAATAATTATAATCTAATTAAAAACAAATACAATGGTCTATCAAAATCTATGTATGATCCAATATTTAACTAAAGTAAGCGCAGTAAACTAGCTACAAATGCTTTGCAGAACTATGCACTTACAGCAAGTTGTTTTATTATGTTGTTTCTTCTTAAAAATATGTCAAATGCCCGAAAGGTTTTTATAGAAAGTATACTTCTCAGTATGCCTTTGAAAGAAGAAAAATATTTTTATTTCACACACTTTCCCTTAATGGATTTTAAAAAGTTAACAGTTATCATATTTTATTCCTATTTATTTATAAATAAATTTAAAAAACATAATCAAAAGCAAAAGTAAGGGCATAGTTCGGCAATTCCGACATCAAGTTAATAACCTCGCGCATTAAATACTTCAAGAAGTGCCCCATCAAGTTATATTTGGCCACGTCCATTCCATATTGAAACATGTTGTTGGCACAGTATGACGACATCGGGGCCACACAAGTGTTGTACAGCAACAGCGCTAACATCCATTTCTGTTTACGACTGCCACTTTTTAACCTTGTGTCAGACACAACAGGCAAAACACGAGAACTTCGGCGATTTCGTGTAGTTTCCAGATCTTTTATTAATGTATCTTCTTTTTGTGACATCTCATTCAATTCCTGTGACGATTCAAATCTAAACATGTGCAAAAGCTTAGTTCTACAATAATATGGTTCAATTTCGTAATTAAATGAATATTTCACACTCACCGTTTGTCAAAGTATGATGGCGGTGTAGTGTCTAGAGCACCAATCTCTGAACTACTGGAAGGCTGAAATTAAATAAATTGTATAAATTTTTCTTTTTCACACACATTTTATTTATAGAATAAGGGTGAAAAACCAGACCTCAGTCCTGTGACTGTTAATGGATGCTGTGGCCTATAGACACCTACATTTATCCTCAATTGAAAATCAAAATTTATATGTGTTTTTACCCCAGAAGACACAGATGAAATGCATCGTTTCCATTAAAAAAGCAATGGCATTATGCTGTTATTTTAAGCTGATAACCAGTAAAAGATCACATACTCACGGAATACGTGAGTATGTGATCTTTTACTGGTCGACTTGTCATACTGCAACCATGATATAGCTGCAACATGACTACCATGTTAAATTAACATCTAAACTTACTTAAAATTACAATCTAAACTTTTATAATTTTTTACTTTAAATCATTTAAGTCTTTATTACAATGGTCTTCCGTATTACCGAATTCTATCAATTGTATAAGTTCATTGTGCTATGCTGAGGCGACGCAAGAGAATTTACTGCCCCATATCATCCCGTGGGCGTGGTAGGAGGCGATAAAGAGAATCGCCAAACATTATCAAACTGGAATAGCACCTTTGGTAATTGGTAATATCCCCGTATAAGGCAATTCATGGGGGAGATCTATGTTCACTAGTGGACTTTTCATGAATTAATGAATGCGTACATTGTTCTCCGCTGACTGCCTCGTTTGTCTACTGGTCGTTAATGAGATTGCCAATCATTAGGTCCCGGGTTCAAATCCTTTATCGGCCCAAAATCAGTTATGGGTTTTTCTGTAAGAAATTCTAAATAGCAGCCTGGAGTAGGCAAGTTGGTGGTATTTCACCCCCTTGTCTCGATAAGTACGTAAAGACGGTCCTGCTCCTTAGCAGGACCGTCATAGAGAGATAAGTCTCTCTCCGGACGTGTTACAGTCGCATTAAACTATGAGAGTGAAGGAATAGAGAGTGCACATGTGGTTGTGCATACACTTAGGCACTATAATCCTGCCCAGCACAGATGGCTAGTCTTTACTGAGACTTGGCTGCTTTAGAAAGCACTTAAAGCCGTTGGTCCTGACCCTGATCTCTCTCCAGTCGTGTTATCGTCCCATTGGACTATGAGAGTGAGGGAACGGAGAGTGCACATGTGGTTGTGCATACACTTAGGCACTATAATCCTGCCCAGCACAGATGGCTAGTCTTTACTGAGACTTGGCTGCTTTAGAAAGCACTTAAAGCCGTTGGTCCTGACCCTGATCTCTCGCCAGTCGTGTTATCGTCCCATTGGACTATGAGATTGAGGGAACGGAGAGTGCACATGTGGTTGTGCATACACTTAGGTACTATAATCCTGCCCAGCACAGATGACTAGTCTTTACTGAGACTTGGCTGCTTTATAAATCACTTAAAGCCATTGGTCCTGACCCTGATCTCTCTCCAGTCGTGTTATCGTCCCATTGGACTATGAGAGTGAGGGAATGGAGAGTGCACCTGTGCTTGCGCATACACTTGGGCACCATAATCCCGTCCAGCACAGATGGCTAGTCTTTATTGAGACTTGGCTGCTTTAGAAAGCACTTAAAGCCGTTGATCCTGACCCTGATCTCTCTCCAGTCGTGTTATCGTCCCATTGGACTATGAGAGTGAGGGAACGGAGAGTGCACATGTGGTTGTGCATACACTTAGGCACTATAATCCTGCCCAGCACAGATGGCTAGTCTTTACTGAGACTTGGCTGCTTTATAAATCACTTAAAGCCATTGGTCCTGACCCTGATCTCTCTCCAGTCGTGTTATCGTCCCATTGGACTATGAGAGTGAGGGAATGGAGAGTGCACCTGTGCTTGCGCATACACTTGGGCACCATAATCCCGTCCAGCACAGATGGCTAGTCTTTATTGAGACTTGGCTGCTTTAGAAAGCACTTAAAGCCGTTGGTCCTGACCCTGATCTCTCTCCAGCCGTTTTATCGTCCCATCGGATTGAGAGTGAGGGAATGGAGAGTGCACATGTGGTTGCGCATACACTTGGGTACCACAATCCTGTCCTGCGCAGATAGCTAGTGTTGGTTGAGCGAAGTCAGTCAGATTACATTGTTCTCCTTGTCGTCGGAGTCGTCTGCGCCGCGGCGATTCTTGCAGAGCGCGGGCTGGCAGCGGCAGGCGGCGCCGCAGCCCAGCGCGGACTTGACGCAGCCGCACAGCTTGGTGGAGCACGAGCCGCGGCACGTGCAGTGCGGCGCGCCGTCGCTGGCCCGCTTCACTGCGCGCGACGTGTCCGCCTCGCTGCTCGTGAAGTTCATCGTGAGCCGCGATCGTTGCGCCTGTGGATAACACATACAATACTATAATACATACATAATAGAACGGGAGAGTGGGCGGAGCCCATGTAGCCACTAAAATGTCACTAACACGTCAATTCACACGTATAAACGTCAACACGAGATGTGTTTTGACGTTACAATCATTTCCAAATTTCCCATGCGAATTATTCAGAAAATGCCAAATTGCACGCTATTTACAAATAAATATGTATTCAAATATGTATTAAAATATGTCTGTCAACACAGCGAATCGAGTTTGTAGTAGTGATAATACGACGCTATTGCTTGTATGTGTGCTCTCGGCAACGCCTATCGTTGTATAAAATAAGGTTGACAGCCATTCTATTGTGTATTAAAGTATTCTATGGGATAACAAAACTTATTTTCATTGCCCGTAGTAGAGATGTTATGGAGGTTCGATTCCGATTCCGATAGTACGGAACTTCCAATTGATTTTGCAACTTCGATACCGATTACCGTTCCGATAAATTTTAACCAAAAAGTTATATCGGAGATAGATGCATAGCGGCGTTGACGGCCGCTATCAGCGCATGCGAACAAGTTAAAACCTTAATTGGGCATGGCTAAACTGTGGATGTTTGCAAAAATTTCAAAGCTAGTATGTAATTAGTGGTACATACAGATTTAGGATTTCATATCAGTATTTTTACGTGTTTTCAGTTTTTCAGGAAACTATGTGGGAAAATAATTCCTGTTGACCGATTCCATTGTAACCCTTGGTGATTCCTGGGAAATTATTTCCCATCTAGGGGGAAATATATTTAAAACAGAAACTTTTTTATTCAATGTAGATTATAACAATACTTTATTGAAGTCACTTTTTTCATTTACCACTGGTTCGCAAAAAAAAACCTCTGTCCTGGGAAGAACCAGCAAGAAATTCAGCGGGACTATTTTTTTTCCAATAATAGCTTACAATAATACAATAAACAACACAAGACAAATTAGAAATAGCTTGGTAGCGATCACCCTTCCCAGGGGTTATTATCATCCATAAATTCCTTAATATTATATATATTTCATACTTACATTACATATTAGGAACAGTTAGTCGAAGTTAAGCAGTTAGACTAAGATAATTGAAGTGAAAACACTAAATACATTCATAAACACTCACGCCTGTCACCCAGAGGGGTAGGCAGAGACTACAGACTTCCATTTGGCACGATCCTGACACACCTCTCTTGCCTCCTTCACATCCATACACCTACGCATACATGCTCGCCGGTTAAGGGTACTCCTAATTTGGCCCGTCTTCAATAAATCGCCAATTTGGTCGATAAATTTTCGCCTAGGACGTTCCTTTCCGACTCTGCCATTCACTTCTGCACCATAAATTTTAACACTAAATTGAAAGATAATATCTAATTTATTTTATTTGTGAAACATTTCAAAACAAGGGGCAGCACATAAAGATACCTTGCAAACTTTACACATATATTTGCTACGTTGCTCCTTTTCATGTGTACTACACATTCTGCATCTTCGAAATTTGGTCAATTCGGGCATGTGGGAGCTTACGTCCGATTTTCGAATCTCATCCGGTACTGAAATGTTACCTCCTTTTTTGTTTTTGACACGGGCGGTTTTCACGAAAAATTGTTGATGAGTCCTCTGCCCAATCGCAACCGGAATTCTTTTTTCGGAAAAAGTCAAGAAAATAATCCAGTGGTTGACTTCTGTTATTGTAATTTTTTTTAATCTGCCCTTTCTTCTCGAAAATAGGACAAGTAATATCATCAGTTGCAAAAGACCAATCTCTTGATTTATTTTGAAATCGAATGAATTTATCCCTAGAGAAAAAAGATGTTGGTTCTGCATTAGAGCTTCCATCAGGCTCTGCCAATACTGGTACTGGAGAAGAGTGGTCTGCCTGGACATCAGCTACAGCAACAAGTGAGGTTGTTTCACCAGGATTTTGATCAAATAGCATAGGAACGTCCGAAATCACATGAGAAGGGCCTGCATGGACTTCAGCGATTGCATCTTGTGAAGTTGAAGCCACTTGAGGAAGAATTGGCTTAGAAATCTGTTGAACTGGTGAATTCAAAAAAGTTTCATCTTAGATAAGAGACAAATCTGATTCTCCCACCAATAAAGAATGTAATTCTTCGACAGAAATACCTTGAATTTCATCCAAACGCTTGTCTAAATCGACATTGCAACTACTGGTGGCAAAAGAGTCAACTTTTTCATCAAGGTCTTCTTCTTCCGATGAACAAAGTAGCTGTGGCAGCTGAAACTCAGATTCACATCAATTTCAGAATCGCGAAGTGGTTTCTGAAATGTAAAACAGAGCTTATGAGATTAATAGAAATCCTGCATGCTTCCTACGGAAACAGTTTTCCCACATAAATCCTTACGTAGGAAACCTAAACGGGCAACAAGCAAATATTCACATACTTCGAATCCATCAAAACCAAGCATTGAGTTATAATGTACTATGTACTAGAGAAGCTATTCCAAACAAAAAATGTGCGCTATTATATATATATATATATATATATATATATATATATATATATATATATATATACTATGTCTTCGCGCATGCGCGGGAATAGTACAGTCGCGCATGCTCTGTTGATATAAACGCGCATTGCGCCTGCGCGGTCAGTTTTTGTTATTGTAGATTTATTTATTTATTTATTTAAGCTTTATTTGCACACATAAAAGAAATGTACAAAACGGCGGACTTAATGCCTAAAGGCATTCTCTACCAGTCTACCTTTGGTTTGTGCAGAGAATCTAGTGATGGGTGCAAAACTCATAATTAAAAAAAAATTAAAGGTTTAAGGAAAAAATACAAATTTATAATATAATGATAATAAACAATACACATACATATACATTTACATTACTACTTACATGCATACAATATTATTTTATATATATACACAAATACCCACAATAAATACATACACAATAAATAAATATGATATTTTTATACTATACATACTTGAGAATATAACAGTTTCTGAAGTTTTTAAATTTTTTATTATAATCCGAAACTACTACTGCTTCTTTAAGTAATATTCCCAGAGTAAACGTTTAAAGATAGGTTTAGTTTTTGCTTCTTTTATATTTCTGGGTAACATGTTCCAGAGTCTTACTGCATTTGAAGTGAAAGAATTGTAAGAGAAGCCCGTGCGACAGAAAGGAACATGAAGAGTTAGATTTTCCGCGGAACGAAGACATCGGTTGTGAGAATCGCCCTGATACTGAAATTTGCATTTCAGATATGCAGGGACAAACGGATCGTGTAAAATAGAGAATAGCATAGAAAGGATTCTAAAAGATCTACGAAGTGGAAGAGGCAGCCATTTGAGCTGAGAACGGAATGAAGAGACGTGATCGAATTTACGTAAGCCAAAGATAAAGCGAATACAATTATTGAGAAGACGATCCAGTTTGTTAAGAAGTTCTTGAGAGGCATCAGCATAGCATACATCTGCATAATCTAGTATTGGTAATACGAGCGTTTGAACCAACATTACCTTTGTTCTCACTGGAAGAAAATTCTTGAGTCGATACAGACAACGCAAGGTGTTGATAACTTTTTTGCTTACTTCCGTGACTTGCGGCCGCCAACTCAGACTGCTGTCAATGATAAGTCCTAGATTTTTCACAGTAGCTGAATAAGGTATGACAGCATTATTAAAATTTACAGGTGGCAGTGAATTAAAATCCAATGTAGATAAGCGACGGCTACTTCCAACTATAATTGCCTGGCACTTGGTAGGGTTAACAGTAATACCGAATTTGCTAGACCAATCAGAGATACGAGTGAGGTCAGAGTTTAGCTCAGTGATCGCATCTTCGATATCGTTAACATCAGACTGAGCATATATTTGTAAGTCATCGGCATAGAGATGGTACGTGCAGCGAATGTGAGATGTAATGAGATTTATAAAAATTGAAAACAAAAGAGGTGAGAGAATTCCGCCTTGAGGAACGCCAGCAACCAGCGTGCACCAGTCAGAAATAACTGGACCCACGCGAACAGCCTGCTGACGTCCCTGAAGATAGGATGCGAACCATTCCCGCGCTGATGAGGAGAAACCAATGTGAGAAAGTATTGTAAGAAGGATGTCATGATCAACAGCATTAAAAGCGTTTGAGAAATCTATTAAAACTAACACAGTTAATTTTGACTCCTCCATACCTATACGTAAATCTTCCGTAACTTTAAGCAGGGCTGTTGTTGTACTATGTCCTGGCCTGAAACCTGATTGATAGCTACTTAAAAAGTTATTTTTAAAAACGTAGTCAGAAATTTGTCTGTGAGCAACAGCTTCAAGTACTTTTGATAAAAAAGGTAGAATAGAGATAGGACGAAAGTGAGAAACAGAACTAGGATTATTTATTTTGGAAGTGGGAGAACAAAAGCATTTCGCCATAGTGAAGGAAAAACCCCAGTATCTAATGAAAAATTTACTATGTGGGTAAGTACTGGTAAGACATAATCAAGGATGAGATTGATCATGATTCTGCTCACATCATCAGAGCCTACTGCGGCGGACTTGATGGAAGAAATTGACTTTTTTATATCCTCATCAGTAACGGGAGAAAAATTGAAAGAGCTTTTGTAAAATTTTGGAAGAGAATTAACATGGGCAATAGTAGTAGATTTAATTGACGAATGCAGTTGTGGTGCAGTAGAAAAGTATGTATTAAGTTGATTAACAGAGAATATTGAAGGATCAAAGTTAGAAGCAGGTTTACCTATCCCGATTGATTTTAAAAATTTCCACGAATCAGCCATAGAAGCGTTAAGGATATTTCGATGAATATAACGGCGTTTAGCGGCCCGCACCATCTGATTACACCGATTCCTAGCGGCTTTGAATCGAGTCCAGTTAACAGTACACCGATTACTCTTATATTTACTAAATTCTCGATCACGCTTTGCCATAGCCCTGCGGATATCCTCAGTAATCCACGGCGCAGGAGATCGTTTCAGTCTGACTTTATGTGGA